CACTTACTATATAAATTAAAATAACACAGATTCCCATTTCAAAGCCCAGACCTACTATCAAAATCTCCATAAGATATGCTAAGAGTCTGAAAGTTTAGCAAGCACCGCAGCTGATTCTTATGATCAGTTGCATTTATAAAACACCTGGCTAGCAATGTCAGGAAGTGCTGAGATGGAAAGAAAAAAGTTTTTAATGCAAAGGAAAGGTATCATCCCCAGGCATCTAATGGCCTGGCCTAGTGGCACTAAGTTCATATCTGATAGAGCGTGAAATTGGGAGAACAGTGACCAAGGGTTATCCCTGGATCCCAGGAGTCCAGGTCTGGTGGCTAGAGAATCCTAATAGTGAGCTGAAACAGCTGAGGGGCAGCTGTTCTTATCTATCCTACCTCTATCAAGCCTGAAGCTGGGTAAGGCTGAGTGCAAGGAGACAGACATTGTGGAAAGAGGAACCAGAAGCTGAGAAAGGCTGTAAAAATAAAGTCAGCACAGAGTGGGCGGAAAAATAAATCAGAACACGAGCAAAGGTCAGCTCTGTCCTCCCAAACTACAATGATGTAAAGTTGTGATTCCAGTCATATTTCAAACTCTGGGAAAGGAAGGGAATGTGGGGGTGTCATTACTGGAGTTAGCCAAACTGCAAAGTCTCAGGACACAGTCTCCCAGGCTCCCCTCACTTCTGACACTAACGGTAAGTTGAGGGAATTTCCGTCACCACCACAGGTTTGACCATTCGCCAGGAAGAGTCACAGAGCTCTCTGAAAACTGTTACATACAGTCATGGGATTAGGACAAACAAAAGGAAAATTCACATAGGACAATTCAGGAGGGTTCCAAATGCAAAGCTTCTGTCGTTTTCAGGATGCATTACATTCCTAGCATCAGTGTGTGACCATAAGAACAGAATATTGCCATCTTGGGAAATTCAGCTTCAGTGTCCCATGTATTTATTGGGGCTTCATTATGTAGGCTTAAATGTAAGGCAGAAACTATGTATGTGAAATGAGCTCAAAGGGAAAAGAGTGAGTCCTGAAAGAGCAATAGGAGTTTTGGACTGATCATGACAGCAGGATGGTTTGGACAGAACAAGTGGGAAAAGAAGGCCACCTCAACTGCCCTGATGGACAGCAAAGAGTTAACACATTAAAATATATGTATTTCACTGAAGCCAGCCATCTGAGTGGCAGTGTGTACATTCTGACAATAAAAGTTCCAAGTAAAAGCTACACAATAGCTTCAAAAACTGTTATACAAAAGCAAATGTCACATTAATCAGGATGCCAGGCAATAACAAAGATATAAGGCCCTTTCCTACCATACAATGAAGCAGCTACTGGATAATCAAGATACACCACTTGGAGAAGAAAAAAATTTTTTTATAAATAGAAGTCAGTAGTTTGTTAGGAAAGGAATTGAAGGTGCTCAGTAGGCAGATGTGGGGGGTAATTATTGAAGAATACGGATCAACATAAAAGTATCCTTAGAGCAGAGGAAGCCACTGCTACTGTTCTAACTGCTAAAGGACTTGGAAGAGAGCAAAGGTCCCTAAGCAATTTCAAAAACTCTCTACAACTTCTTCTGTTTTATGCCTTTAAGCTACCTGAATTTTTGAGAGGTCCAAACATCTCATCTGGTTTCCAAGGCTTTCCATGATCTGCTAATAAACCTTATCTCTGTCATTACTTAAATCACTTACTCAACTAGTATTTGAACACCTCCATTATTCCAGGCTCCATGGATACAATAATAAACAAGAAGTCTCTGTCCTCATGGAGACTATATTCCACTGGAGAGGGACACACAATAAACACATATATGTCTATCATCTACTATGCAATATAGTTACTAGTTCTACAATGGGAACTAAAGCGTGGTAAAGGAGGTGGAGAGAGAGAACGCATAGTCTAGGAAAGAGAGGTGGGCAGGGAGAGTTTCACTGAAAAGGGGCATTTGAGCAGAGATCCAAATGAAGTGAGAGGTTAAGCCATGTGGGTATCTAGGGGGAAAACATTCCAGGCTGGGGGGGAAAGAAGTACAAATCCTTGAAGCTAGAATGAACTTCACCCGTAGGTTTTAACATGGTGGGTAATGGGGCGAGTGGAATGAATGGGGGTGAGAAAGGCAGGTAGTGGCCAATTCACGGAGGCTTTTGTAAACCAGTATAAACTTTGGATTTTATTCTGGTTGCAAAAGAAAACCTTTGGAGTTTTTCAAACTATGACATCCCCTTGTAAGGAGACCAAGGTGAATATTATTTCCACCCTCCATTATTCATCCTATGTTCCCTTTACTTTCTCTTCAGAGGCTTAGTGTTCTTACTATGGTGTAACTCAAAACTTCATTTCCTAAGACATCTGAGCTTTTAGTGGTTCCTGCTTATAGAGATTTGCTATAACAATTATGGGACTTCCCTTAACTTATGACTGAAGAGGGAAGTCCTAGGAGATTCCTCTGGCTTTCATTCATATTCCTCTCTGACCCCACTGTATATCAGAATATATGTGAGAAACCTTTGAGAACCAGGCTCAGTCCCACCAGCCAATACCATGGCCTATTTATTCCTGACCCAGGTGTAATGGCACTATGGCAGTCTCTGCTGTTTCCACTGGTGGAAGCATATCTACTCCAAATACTAATGTTGCTTTGCAAGTAAAATCCAGAGTTATGAGTATGATATTAAATGCAACAGCGAGGCGTGGCACTCCAATTGCCTCACCTTGGTCCCCAAATCCCTGTTTTCGGCAAGGGCCGGTGTCATATATTAAACACAGGTGAACTTAAGTTGTCACCTCTAGGATGACACCCCAAACATTCAAATTGTTGACTTCAAGTTGACACCATAACAGTCTTGTCTCAGTCATTCCATTGTTTTACAAAGCCAGCTACTTCCAGGACAGAGAGTTTATGATAAGACCACTAATTTCCATGGGCATCAACCCAGTGGCTTCCTCTCCTAAACTGTGAGTTTCTTGATGAGAAGCAACATTAAGAGGGGTACTGTGGTACTGAATAAGGCATTTAAGTATCTGTAGATGATGGCTTTAGCAGAAGAATGGAGAAAGGGAAGCAAACCAAATTCAAACATATTTTTTTTAATAAGGGACATACTGCTGCTCTCTCTACAAAAGAAGAAGTCAAATGGAAGGAGATGGCCACCGCATGAATGACTGGTCTTCTCGGAATGGTGTCTGTTAGGAAGGTCAGGGTTGGCCACTAGAGCTGGCAAGTTGGTGATGCTAGGAAAGCCTTAGTGAAGGAGAAACCACATACCTGAGCTAGCAGGTCAGTTCCTGCCACCATGGCCACTTAATTAATGGGCCCACTGAGCACCAGTGGCACAGCTGAGGACAAAGACCTACTAGCATTCAAAGGGCAGATCATATTAGTTACTTAATTACTGCTGGCTCTTTTGGGGTGAATATTTACATGGAACTCAGATATGGTGAACCCAATTTGGGAGCACACCAGATTACAGAGTGCACCTGGATACACCTGAATGTATGGTTTGGTGAATCCTAAAACACTGTGCGTGGTTTCAATTTCTATAACTATTATTTAGTTATAAGCATCAGAAACAAAGTTCTAATGACTTACCAAAAAAAAAAAAAGTTATATTGAGCAGGTCACAAAATCTCTAAGAAAATCAGCAGAACAGACTCAGACACTACACATTCAGGAATCATGTTCAGAATCATGCTATAGAACTTAGTCGGTGAAGACACCAATGCCAACGTTAGATGACTCACACTGCATCACTGATAGCTCTGCAGCCAGTCCCTAGAAATCAGGTGTAGCTGCTGTCACTTTACTGAATCTGTGTGGTCCTTGATGCTTTGCATCCCTAGCTTTTATTTGTGTTTGTTTTTTTTGAAGGCTTGTCTCCAGCAGCAAATTCTAGAAGAATAGCATACAGTGTATAACATAAATCAAAGAAAGGGGAAAATGGGTGATGAACTAAGCAATATTTTGACCCCAAAAGAAATTAGTTTAACCAATCAGCAGGAAGACAAGGACAATCTCAAAAGGCTTGACTGGTGTAGGTATAAAGAAGGCCACTAAGAAATGACAAGCACCTTGTTTCCCTTATAGGGTCAAAAGCACACAGAGGTAAGTGAAACCTGGATATGTTCAGGGAAACCTAACTGCTGAAAGGAATTAGGGCCTAATTACCCAGTGAACATCCTGGAAGACAATAAACCTCACAAGAAAAACTTGAAGGTCAAACATGAAGGTCAAGTAGCACTGACTAAGGGAGGTGTAGCAATGAGTGTAGCTAGACCTGAGACATTTCAAACAGAAATAATTTAATATAGGGAATTAGTAACATAGGCAAAGAAAGAGCTAAAAAGTCCCAAAAAGGATGATGAGGAAATGCAGATACTAGCAAGAGCAGAAAGCTGCCACCACACCTACAGATGAAGGGACACAGGAAGATGTGGCACTACCGAAGCTGAAGCAGAAACCATCTGGTGAGAGAACTGCAGCAGGGGCCGCTGCACAGGAACTGGGAACACAGAGGATGGAGGTGGCCCACAGGAGCTGGAACTGCATAAACGAACAAGCAAACAGAAGCAGCCAGGACTGGAAGCTTCATTTAAAGCAAAAAGGTGGTGAAATATTCTGGATCATCCTGCCCTCCCACCTGCCACTAGTACCTCCCATTGGCAAACCTATTTGAAACCAATTTGCAAGAGGATCTGGAAAATGTATTCCCCTGCCATGCAGATGGCAGGAACTCTTCAAGGAGTCCACCAGAAGTTGTGGGATACCACACAATGCAAATATTGAGCATGACCCTCTGAATCACAGAAGCCCTCAGCACTAACTCTGCAGTCCTGGGGAGGTCACAGGCCCACAGGAAGTGCTCAGTTTCTCCGAGGTCTATGGCTGGAAGATGAGCTATCATTACAATTGTACCTGTGTTCCCTTTAAGTTGACCTCAGTGAAGTTTAATCACATTAAACATATGTGTACTGGTGCCATTTCACCAGTTCTCGTACCCAGTCCTCTGTTCGACTCATGGAAGGGTTAGTGGTTGAACCCATCAGGCAGCCACGGTTCCAAGAAGAGGTCTGTAGCTGGGGAATGAAAGAAACAGGGGACTGTTCATTACTTATGCCCATTTGGCTGTTTAGGAGAAAGCATGTCTCTTTGGAGCAGTCTTTGAGACGACCCTCCCCCATCCCCCAAAAAACTGGCCTGCTTTTCTCTGAGCAGGATCCTCCAAGATTATTGGGGCAAACAAGACATACTAGATACCCAGCACTCTGAGAAAAGAAGGGAAACACTTATCAGAGGACTTCTCTACACCTGATACAGCCTTTGCTCTTTTCAAATCACCATGTCATCAGTCCTACAACTCCTCTGTGTGGTAGAGGCGGTGCTCCATTTTACAGATTAGGAAGCTGAAGCCCAGATAAGTAAAGTGCTTTCATAAGAACATGTAACTAATGAGAACCAGAGTTTGAAGTAATAGCACCCAAGGCCATCCTTCCAGAAGACATTTAAGAAGCCCCCTTAGAGAGAGGCAAGTCAAGGGATTCTTGGTGTCTAGTTATCCAAACTGAAGGAATCAAAGTCCCTTAAGACTAAATCAAATCTCATTCGACTGGGATTCACAGAAGTAGAAAGGAAAAAACAGGTAGGGGTTCATGACACTGAATTGACAGAGGTTTCTGGAGTCCTGCATAGTACTGGTTATTTTCCAAAGTCTTCCCATACCTTCTTTGGATTATCAGTGGCCACCTAATGTAACCTAAACAATGGAAATGTTAAGGTAAGTTATGCACCATAATATGAAAGCAACCTTAGAGTGATGGATTTACCAATCAGAGTTCCCTATTAGCTAATCTGGGGGCTGGGAGAAAGGAAAGACGGTATTTCCCCCATTTGCACTTGTTTTCCAGCACAAGACACCTCTCCTGCCCTTTCTCTCTACCCCTACTCACATCTGCCTCCGCTTCTGGAGTCTCTCTCTCACACAGTATCCACTAGCACTTTACCACCTGTGAGAGAATTTCAGGGGCTCAGCTTCTAGCACTGAAGTTGAATGCCACGCTGCTGGTAAGCTCGGCTCCAGTTCAATGCTCCCCACTCCACACACTCTCTAATTCGATAGAAGAATGCTTTTAAAGTGTGATACAAGCACTTCCTGGCATGGCCTGTCACTGCAGTCTCCATTAGTGTGCTGACCTTCCTGCCAGGCCTTCCCTGACAGTCCCCTGGCTTGGGAACTCAGGTTTTCTCTCTCCTTTCAGACAGTTTGTTCCATTTTTACCTTCCAGCCAATAGTTAAGTCACTGTCTTCTGAGAAGGGATAGGGTAGGGATAAAGGGAGGGGGGAAAGAGGGGCAGGCCTTGCTTTTGGGTCCCTAGAGAAGCTGGGTTCTTTCCTGTTATCTATCTTCTCCCTCCAGCCTGTAACCTAGGTCCTTTTAGAGGATGTCCTTTTTCCTGTCTCTGGACTAAACAAACTGGGATTCTCTCTGGCTTTTGGTTCTGAGGGCTTTGTCTGTAGTCCTGCCTTTATTCTGTATCCTATCTAATCCCGTCCCTTTTCCTGCCTCAGTTTTCCTCCCGTCCCACCTCCAGGCTCACTTTTCCTGCCCTCTGCTCTTTCCAGTTCCCTGATCTCTCAGGCTATTGTCCCAAGAGCTTAACCATCCTCCCCCATCATCACCATTTCTACAAATAACCTTGGCATTACCTGCTCACACCTGACACGGGTCATGGCCTTTTTCCTCCATCCTAGACAATGTCATTTTCCTGCACAATCCTGTTCACAACATCACAATCCACACCTGCATTTCAAAGCAATAGTCATTGATCCCAATCACACTAATAAAACAACTGAGGCTGCACTTTTCTATTTTAACAAAACATGTCTAGCCAATGATGACTGCTTTTTCAGGGGAAAGGGCATTCCATCCTAGAGAGAACACTGGCAAATAGACATAGCAAATCTGAAAAATTCCTGTAACTATGTGCATATGAAATGTTTTGGTATGACGTTCAAGTCAGTATGTACCTAACAACAAATTTTTCTCCTCTCCCCTTTTCAACGTCTACACTAAGCATCCAAAACCCCCATAGTTTCTTGGGGAAATTTCTCTGACATATTCCTGGTCTTCTTTACTATATATGTGGGCAAGTCTATAAAAAGCAAAGTATACACTGTCCAATGTCAAAGACAAAAAGAAAAATATACCTCAGAATAAGAAGGAAGTAAGCAACTAGAAAGTGAAATAGAATTCTGGAGCAAGAAGGAATGATGAAGTAGGGCAAGCAGGAAAAAGCTGAGGCAGAATAAATGGATTTTTTGATACTGTTGTTAGATGGATTTCTTGCTAAGCCAGAGAAACTGCAAACATCAGTTCCCACAGGTACCACAAAACTCAAACACCAACTGAACCTACTCTAAGGAAAGGTAGGGACCAGAAAGCAAGGTATTTCATGGAAGCACAAAATTTTAGAGGTGGGAGGGACTTGAAAGATCAGCTACCCAAACAATTAGACTGTAAAAAATAATAAATAGGCTCCATAAGGTCAGTCTCAAAAGGTACTGGATAATTAACATTTATTTTTAATGTTAAAAATAATTTGAATGATAATTAACATTTATTTTTAATTATTAGTGCAGAAAGAACATGAGATCACCCTCTTAACAGATGTCTAGGTATACAGTACATTATTGTTGTCTGTAGGTAAATCTTGTACAGCAGATCCCAGAGCTTATAAATCTGGCTTGACTGAAAATTACATCTGTTGATTAGTAACTCTTCATTTCTCCCCCTCTCCAAGACTTGACAAAGTGTTACCCTCCATGCTAAGTGTTTCTATACATTATTTCACCTCACAATAGCCGTGTAAGTTAGGTACTACTATTATCCTCGTTTTCCAACTGAGGAAATTGAGATTTAGAGAGATTAAGTCATTCATTCAAGTCTTTACAGGTAAAAAGCAGCAGCGCCACTATTCAAATGGAGGCAGCCTAACTGCATGGACCTCTTAACCTCTATGCTACCCAATCATCACAGGATCTGGTCAGTTCAAACTGCCAGGTAAATCACCCATAATGGAAGCAGATATTATAGGAAGGATTTTTTTAGGTTTCTGCTTTCTGAATGGATGTTGCCTATATTAGTTAGAATTACTTAGGTTGTGCTACAGTAACAAACATTCCCCAAATTTCATTGACTTATAACAAAAGTTTATTTCTCACTCATGTTACATTGGGACATTAGGGAATTTGGCTTCACGTTATCCTCATTTGGGACCCAGGATCCCCCCTCTGGAATGTTATTGGTCACTATAGCTGGAGGATAAGAAGATGGCAGTTCTTGAACTGGCATTAAAGGCTTCTGCCTGAAAGTGATACTCACCAATTCTGCTCCCACGTTATTGGCCAAATCAAGATACATGGCCACACCTAATTTAAAGGGTACGGGGAAATACAGTCTAACTGTGAGGATAGTCAGCTAATACATTATGAGTGCAGTGCCAAAGGCGGAAGCTTAGAAATATTGATGAATGGGTAGTCCCAATAACTACCATAGTCCCAAATTAATGTAATTTCCCTGTGAGCTCATCTGGCTCTAGTTGTGTTGACTAACTCTAATTCTGTTATTTAAATTTGTTTGTGTAATTTTAATTTATTTGTATACTACATGAACAAGTCTAACTCCAAATTATTTACTACCACTGTTGCTCTCTTAGAGCACTAAATACTTTCCCTCCGGTACAAAACTACACAAGTAACACTTCACACCAAGTTAATGAAAATAATGTTTGAATAAAATTAAATAAAACCAATATTCCAACTAATAGAAAAATTGGGACTTTATGACATGAGATAATACACACAGAAATTCATAGGATATTGCCTGACACAAAGTAAACACTCAATATTTGCTAACTTCCCTAAACATATCAGATGCCAATTAATTTTTCTTCAAGGGACACATTTATTTCAGTATCTGCCAAAGACCACTGAAGGCTGGCAACACCACTGGTTCTAATGCTGATTACCAGACACACAACATACTAAAAAAATAAAAGACAAAGATGAATGACCTGGAGAGATATTGTCCCAAAGCTCCTCCCCAGGAGAAAATGTCAAAGAGAAGTTAGTTCTCTGGGACACAGTTATTTTCACATAAACTAAATCTAAACCATAGCTCTTTCTAAATCTCCTAAATCATAGTTCTTTCTAATTAACCAGAACAACTTTCAAACATGTGTGACATGTGATCATCTTCACTACCATCTTGATGTGCAATTACACATTAGTGCAGAATAATGGAGATAAAGGCTGGTGGAGGAAAATAGAGGTTGCTTTCTCAGGGAAAAAGAGAAAAACCACAATTGGCACAGTGGAATTTTTCTATTAGCTGCCAGAAAGATAGAGAATGTCCAAAGGCAAAAATGCAGAAAACACCACACAGAATTGAACCATGGTAATCAGAATTGTGTATCTTGAGGGAAACCCATGGTATGAGAGCAATTTTCTTTGAGAGTTTAGAAAACAAACAAGGGCAGTGCCAATCACATAATTCTGCTCATCCCTTTTCTGATTAAAACCAGGGTCGAAGGAATGCCAGTGTACTAGAAAAAAAAAGAATGGATTTTTTTACTGGTCTCGCCCATGATAAAGACATTTTGATGATGGGAGATCTCCCCAGCTTCAATCTACCTTAGTTGACCCCAGATATGAACACCTCCAACTGAAACCTTGCTTCCTCATTTAGCAATATGAAGAAATGCTTTCTGGGGGAACTTTCTAGCCGGATACCCTTGAATGCACTTCCTGATGAAATGGGAGATGCGCCAGCTGCCACTACAGATGCTGAAAGAACTGGGAACAAGTGGAGCTGATTGTAATAATACGCTACATGAAGCTGAAGGAGCTATGGTGGTGGAGAGCCCCAGTTCAGTGGGTGGGCACCTTCCAGCTAGACAAAAGCCAAGGCCCATTGCTTTAGCAAAACTATGAGGATTGCTTGCTAATATGTTATTTGGCACCAGAGGGCCGCAGAATATATCTTAAAAAGAAAAAAGAAATAGTAGCATCAGGGGGAAA